AGGACAGGATTCCTGCTCTCCTTGCATGTCAGTTGTGAAACCGGGCAGCAACCCCTAAGCCATCGCCATGGATTTTGTTATGAAACAAGCTTTAGGAGGTAAGTGTGGTTGGCACTGGGGGAGCCACAGATTTCCTCCTCCTCCCCTCCCCCCCCACCCCCAGCTGAGAGAGAGGATGGACCTCTGACAGCCTCCAGTAGGGTCTGCAGCTGGAAGAGCTGTTTGGGGACCCAGCAGCGTCCTGGTCACTGATTTGCGGCCTCAGAGCCAAGTATCTGAGCAATCTGAGCAGGAGAGGGCAGCAACACGCAGAGACCAAAGCCGTGCGTCAGGGGAGAGACCTGCCACACGAGGTGCTCAGGCCCTGGGTAGTGCCTAGCCAGGTACTAGCTGGCTGCTAGTACCCGCTATGCATTGTGTGGGTCCTGCTCTGCTTCATGTCCTACCATGCCTAAGGCAGGTCTTGCAAGGGCTGCAGGCAGGTTTAGTCAGAGCACACTCAAAAATAAGAGTAGCGTTTGATGTGTGTGGGAACCCCTTTTCGCTCCCCCCACCAAACTTCAGCCAAACCAAAGTAAAGACAGTGCAGATGCTGCTGTACTTCGTGTTAGAGGAGTTATTTTTAACAATATTGCTGCAATGAGCAGGGAAATAATTATAAATTAACCCTCGGCACCCACTTGCCCTACCTGGATTTGAGGCAGACCTTTAATGTAATTTCAGTTTGTTTCCTTCTATATGTGATAAGTTGTTTTAACCTAAAAATGGGGGGGGAGGAGGGAAAGTGGTGGGGGGGGGGGAAAAGGAAAACAACACAGAAGTACTTGTGAATGAGATTCCTTCTTTCTCTTGCAATTATGGTCCCTTCCTGGGCTGCTTGGCTTGAATGTTCAGTCAAAACAAGACTCTCACTGAATGATGAATACAGGTTCCTGCAGGGAGCTGGAATGGTTGGCCTGAGAGGAAGTCAATGAGGAGATTCTGATCCCCCACTCCCCCCACCCCCACTGTATAATGTATGTGGTTTTTTCTATGCGTTTTCCTCTGGAGAAACTATAGAGCCATGGGGCTCAGAGTATGTTTCTTACATGTTTCATGCTTGGTTTAACTGATGTCATGGACAGTTTCAACACCTGATAGATACTTTGACTGCAGGAGTCCCTTCCAAGGCATAGAAACATGGTTTTCATCTTCAAAGGAAAAGGAACTGCTTTTTCACCAAGTAGCAAGATCTTGTAGTAAAGAGCAGAGCAAGCATTCCAAGCTTTGGTTGGGGTGTTTTTGAAGGTCAAACTGAAGAAGAAGAAAGGTTCCGCTTTAATTGCACAAAATAGCAGGATTGAAGCTATGCAAGCTGATATGTGTCCTTATGATAGTACTGTTCCATTTCATTACTCTTCGGTGTTTATTTTGAAAGAGAAGTAATTTTGTGAAGGACAGATTTTGCACCATTAGCTATAGTGTGAATGAAGTTGCTTACACTGAGGAGAACAAGGGTACCTACAAACTGGAGATCTTGCCTGTGCAGCTGGAGATGGGAGAATCCATTAAAGGGAAGTAACTGCTTAGTGACTGCAGTTAAAGGCAGCGGGAGGAGGGTTGCAGCAAAGGAGTAAAAATTGCGATGCATGCCTTTTCTTGTGGCTTAGTAACTAACAGGATTTGGAAGCAGTGTCTGCCCTTGCTAAGGAGCATTTACTCTGGGCAGACATCCACTCTAACATAATGTTGCATGCCAGGGTCAGGATTTGCTTTATAATGCGAGCTGCTGAGAAGGCAGGTTCAAAAAGCGTCTGTTGGTGAATTATGAGTTTCAGAGGTCTCAAACAAGATGCTATGTGAGGCACTGGCTCCTCTGCCAGAGGGCTCACTGTGTTAGCAAAATGTGTCTGGAACTTGCCCACTTACTTGATACAGGTGGAGCCTCTGCAGGGTGGTAAAAACCAGAAAAAGTTAATTAAGCAGAGACCTATTTTTATGTTGTATGTGCTTTCAAAGAGGCAAAACGGGGATTACCAGGGCTGATGTACTCTGGAAAGTCAAGGTGCTCTTGGGCACCAGTTTCCCATGCAGTGTTAAATCCCCAATTGATGCAAGAATGTGCCCTGGCCACATTGGCGCAGCAAGCCAGGTTACAGTTTGCTTCCTTAACTAATGGACCCAGATCCTTCTTTGCACACGCGATCCCTCAGTTCTGACAGCCAAGGATACATGGAGGTGCACACACTGACAGAAACATGCAGCCTCTGGTGGGTGACAGGCTTGCTTTGGGTAGGATACCTTGTGTGATCCGCTAGTGAGCGTTTTCATTAGGTCAGCTTTGGGGAGATCTTCCTGTGCATTTGTTGGCCCTTTGATTTCAATTTAATGTGGCTTTCCCCAGAGCCCTCCTGAACTGCTTTTGCTGTTTGCTTGTGGTTTGGTTGGTTGGTTCGTTGTTTTGAATGGTGCAGAAGTACTTATCCCAGGCTTAAAATCTTTTCTTGCATTCATGGAAGAAAAGATGTTGCCAGTGTTGTCAATAAAATCCCCTCCAACTTGTAGAGAATTAGGTCTGTTATATACTGCCTGCAGGTTATCTACCACTGTGACAGCTTAACCCTTTTGCTACCTCAGATCCAGCTGGGGACACCTCACAGAGGCAGGGAGGCAATTGGGTTTCCTTGTCTGAGTACTGTGTGCATGGCATTTTCTCTCTCCAGCATCTAGCACTAAAGCGGGGCTCAGGCCAGAGCTTGTCATAGCCTGACGCCCACTTGCAGGTGGGGTGCTTTTGCCAGGAGAGTCTCTTCCTGCTGGGACTGAGAAGGGCTCTGAAGTATGTGAGGATCCGGGGACCAAGTTGCTTTCTGCTGGAATGATCAAAGGGGGCACTGGCGAGAAAACTGCTTCCTCCTCCTCTCCCCCCGCCAACCTTGCTCTCCTTCCTGAGGAAGACAACGTCTCAAACTTTGCTAAAATAATAATAAACGGCAGCCTTAGCAAAGCACTCACTGGGGATTTTGGCCATTGCCTTTAAAGCAAACCCTGGAGTTATTTCCTCTGTCTCTAATGGTGTCTAATGTATCTAATAGATCAGATTTACTTTGCCTTGGAGAATTTATAATCAGAGGGGAAAATGTCAGGAAAGTATTTTGAAAGGCGACAAGTCCCAGGCTGGCAGGCAAGGAATGGTAGTTATGCTGTGTAGGCTCGCTTTGCTTAGGAGTCTGCGGGAATTCGGGGGATTTAGGCTTGGTGGAATCAGTTTGGTGAGAAATTGTATTGCTGACGTAGGATGTTGTCTTTCCCTGCCTCCTGGTTAAGGGTGTTCGTGGAAACCTGCTGTTTCTCTGCAGTGGAGGCTATCCTCTGATGTGTCCCAGCAGCACTGGGATTGTGCTGCTAATGCCAGCAGAGGGGGCTTTGTGTGACTATTGGACAGGCTTGAAGTACATCTTTTTCTTTGCAAATCTTTGCTCTCTTTAAGCCTGCCCCTATCTTCCACAGTTGGGACAGAGATCCGGGAAGAGCAGTGCCAAATATTAGCTAATTTGGCCAATTGGCTTTCGTGGCCCTTTTGATGCTCTTCAGATCTCTTAGAGCCGTGTGTGAAAGCCACTTCATCTATTGCGTGCGTGACAGTACAGGCACCAGAGATCTTAAATACAATTGCGATGCTAATTAGCAGTGTGGGACAGCAAGAAGAAAATAGTGAGAGGAAATCTAAGGGCTTGAAATTATGACTTCTGTTTTCAGAGAAGTGGGAGAAGATAGCAAAGGAACGTTTTACCCCCCTGCCTTGACTAGATCCCTGCCACACCAGCATGCATAGGCATAGGTGTGTAGCCATGGTGATTGCTCATTTGTCCTGTTCCTGTGACGGACCAGAAAGCTGCAGGTCAGCAAGTTCAGTAAGCAAACTGGGTGGTTGCATTTTACAGCAAGAATGCTGTTTGCCAATCCAGATCAGAGTTCTGGAGCATTGGACTCATGATTAGTAGACCAAGATGTCTGACTTCCCCAGAAGAAGCCTCAGGTGGAGGCCTTGAAATGGTCCCTTGAGAAATATAGTCATGGCACTTTTCACTGGGCATTGCTTACCTCTGCTGTGGCTGTCTTTGTGAGAGCAAGGGGAAGCAACAGGTGCAAGCGCAATGAACTGCCTCATTATATGCTACACTGGCTCATTTCCTTCACCATTGGTGGTTTGGGCACAGTCTTATACAAGGAAACTGGACGGAAGCAGAAGAGACACTTCATGGAGCTCCTGCTGGCTCCTGTTGTTTTACTGGGAGGCTTGAGGGCTGAGGAGTGGGGCATTTTCGTGTGGAAAAAGGCAAGGGAAAAGCCCATTCAGAGGAGGGGAGAGATTTGCCTGAGATGGGATCATCTGTCTGAATTCCTTCCCTATGCTGCTGGTAGCCCTTGAATTTATTGTGCATCACCAGCCTTGCTCAGGAAGGGAAGCAGATTTGTTTTCTGATTAGATATTCACTGGGCTGTATTCCTGTTTTGTTGTCAGTGAATTGCTGCTGCTGGGCATTCGCTTTTTTATCTGCTGGGATTCAGTGGAGACTTGTTTTGATTCATAAGGATATGGAAAATACTGTGGGCAGAAGGACACACGCAACCAGATTTCAACCTGGAATGTGTTGGTGAGGGGACTGCCTATGTCACTTCTTATAACTGCAGCTCTGATTCAGCAGTGTATACCACAAATTTCAATACAGAGGGATCTGTCTTTTTCTTGAAGTGGGGCAGGCAGTTGAGCAGGGATTTAAGCCACTGTCCGTAAGCTCTGAAAAAGCAGCCCCTGTGCTAAGCTTACATCAGTGAAGATGCGCGTATGTTTGAATGGCCGATAAGCCTGGGTGGAAACGGTACTGTAGTGTTTAATGACATCTTAACAGCTGACTTCTACATGTGTTATGAAGTGAATATTTTGCTGTTGTATTTGGCTCGCTCCACTTGCTTGTGGCATGGGAAGTCCTTAATTTGTCCTGGAAAAGACAGGGAGATTGCATGCAGCTAGAGGCAACACAGACCTGCCCAGGGTAGCACAGAGTAGCATTCACATAGTGGTTCCTGCCTTCTCCTCTGGCTCAGCCTCTGTCTC